TTTCTTCATGACTTATACAAAGTTCCTACAAACTATGAGATTATGCAACTCCCGTTTACCAGAGGGACACTTTGTGTGCTACCAAACGTCACAACGTAACTGGGTGATTATAAAGGAGCTCTATAGGTATCTCCAAAGGTAGAGGTTGAGTTGGCGTATTTCGAGATTAGGTTTTGTCACTCCGATAGTCGGAGAGGTATCTCTGGGCCCTCTCGGTAATGCACATCACTATAAGCCTTGCAAGCAATGTGACCAATGAGTTGGTTACGGAATGATGCATTACGTAACGAGTAAAGAGACTTGCCGGTAACGAGATTGAACTAGGTATTGGATACCGACGATAGAATCTCGGGCAAGTAACATACCGATGACAAAGGGAACAACGTATGTTGTTATGCGGTTTGACCGATAAAGATCTTCATAGAATATGTAGGAGCCAATATGAGCATCCAGTTTCCGCTATTGGTTATTGACCAAAAACAGTTCTAGGTCATGTCTACATAGTTCTCGAACCCGTAGGGTCCGCACGCTTAATGTTACGATGACAGTTTTATTATGAGTTTATAAGTTTTGATGTACCGAAGGATGTTCGGAGTCCCGGATGTGATCACGGACATGACGAGGAGTCTCGAAATGGTTGAGACATAAATATTGATATATTGGACGACTATATTCGGACACCGGAAGTGTTCCGGATGATTTCGGAGAAAACCGGAGTGCCGGAGGGTTACGGAACCCCCCGGGAACTAATGGGCCTTGTTGGGCCCTAGTGGAGAAATAGAGGGGCCGACCAGGGCAAGAGGCGCGCCCCCTCCCCTTGAGTACGAATAGGACAAGGGGGGCACCCCCCTTGCCTTTCCTCTCCCACTCCTTCCTTCCCCGTCCTTCTTGGACTAGGAAAGGGAGGGGAAAACCTACTTGGAGTAGGTTTCCCCCTCCTAGGGCGCGCCACCCCCTTGGTTGGCCCCCTCCTCCTCCCCCCTTTATATACGGAGGAGGGGGCACCTCTAGACAAGTTAATCTTCGTGATCGTTCCTTAGCCGTGTGTGGTGCCCCCCTCCACCATATTCCACCTCGGTTATATCGTTGCGGTGCTTAGGCGAAGCCATGCGTCGGTAGAACACCATCATCGTCACCACGCCGTCGTGCTGACGGAGCTCATCCCCGACACCCTACTGGATCGGAGTCCGGGGATCGTCATCAAGCTGAACGTGTGCTGAACTCGGAGGTGTCGTACGTTCGGTGCTTGGATTGGTCGGATCGTGAAGACGTACGACTACATCAACCGCGTTGTCATAACGCTTCCGCTTTCGGTCTACGAGGGTACGTGGACACACTCTCCCCTCTCGTTGCTATGCATCACCATGATCTTGCGTGTGCGTAGGAATTTTTTTGAAATTACTACGTTCCCCAACATGTGGTATACGATGACGCGTGACAGATGGCTCGTTTGGTGATCCTCCGTGACGCCATCCCTGCGCAATCTTCTTAGTAGTTCACCGCCGGAGTCGGAGCTGCGCGGCCTTAGTATGGATTGTATGAAGTGTTGGGCTGCAACTTTTAGGGTTGTTGTTTTTTCTTTTCTCTTTCTTTGATCTTCGGATCTGGTCCTAGGACCTTCACCACCTTGTTGTTTTTCCGCTGCTTCCTGCTATTATCAATGAAATGCCAGCGATGCTTGATCTTTCAAAAAAAATGAATTTCATATTTTATTTATTTAGTATTGTGGATGCCGATATTTTTGGCTCTGAACTTGGTCAAAATTAAAAAAATGAATTTTCAAAAAAGTAATACACACATCATTTTTTTTGCTCCAGCTGTTTCAGAATATAAGGTGTATTAGTTCTTTGAAAAGTCAAATCTCTTTAAGTCTGACCAAATTAGTAGAGAAATATATCAATATTCATAATATCAAATCGATGTCGTTAGACTCATCCTGAAATGAATTTTCATGTTTTATTTATTTAGTATTGTGGATGTCGATATTTTTGGCTCTGAACTTGGTCAAAATTAAAGAAATTTGACTTTTCAAAAAACTAATACACGTTATATTTTGAAACTGATGGAGTATTTATTTTGGCAAGTGGGGGAGATGGTGGAGTGTGCTTCTTTTTATTTGTAATACCGTGTTTTGGTGGGTCTTTCACAGTGTGATTCTGTGTTATCCACTAATCAACTTATACTTATCTGGAAAAACTATTATACATTGGTGGCTGCATGTACTATTTTGATGCTACAACATTACATGTGCCATTTTGATGCTACAACATTAGATATGTCTTTATAGACCGGTTGATGCCGATTAATTAAAAAAATCTTTGACTCGGTTAAAATCATGAACCAAATTCAAAATTGAATTAATCAGGAAAGCTTCAAATTAGGAAACATAATGAATTATTAAAAGAATTAAATAAAAGAGTTCTTTGAGAATCGGGTGACCCAGTTTTAGGCTGGTCATAGTGTGGGTAATATAACCGGTATCATACACTTGGGATTAGCAAACATGTTTATGTGACAGACAATTAAAGAAGAGAGAGGGGGTTAGAGTAACATACTCCCTCCGTCCTTTGAAGAGTGTACTTCCAACTTTGTTGAAAAGTCAAACTTTTTTATGTTTGACCGTATTTATACAGTAATACACCAACATTTGTGCCATCAAATTAGTAGCATTAGATTCGTGATAAAATATATTCTCATTATATATTTATTTGGTTTCACAAACATTGATATATTTTTGCATAAATTTGACAAACTTTAAGATAGTTTGACCCTTCAATAAAGTTAGAAGTACACTTTTTAAAGGACAGAAGGAGTAAGTAGATACCGTATCATGTTAAATGCTATGTTACTTTGTGTCATGCATGATAATAAATATGATCATCTATGATACTATTCTATAATACTATGCATTATGAAGGTAGTACCATATGCATGATATTACTATATGATACTCCCCATTATGAGTAGCCTTAGTTTGAAGACCACAGTTGAATGTGATGCCTTAAAAATTAAGTAGCATGTTGTATTAATAAATTCACTCAGTCAGCTAGGCTCGTAAGTGGACCAGATTAGTAGTATGAGCCTTGGCTTCAGGCTGCCCGTAATGGTAGTATCATAGGTAGTATCATGCATGCCAACTACTCCCTCCGTTTAGGTGAGTAAGTCACATTATGTTGAGCACCGTGACCAAGGAGGAGGGAAAAACAAGAGACTTTAATGTTTATTTGCTAATTAATAGCATTGCATGCAATGAACTAACCACTGCATGTCGTGTTTGCTAGTCTCAAGTCATTAAAAACATGCACACCCCTCATCTCTCATTGGTTGATATGTCAAAAAACAAGAAACGAGGTAGAAGTTAATGTACCGCGCCTAAGTGTTTTGGGATTATTTGGTTTTCGTAAGATGACTTACACACCTACTAGACGGAGGGAGTAAGCAATTTTGATGAGATGTCATAGAATTAAATGAAGAAAGAGATGGTTGAGTATCATATTAAATGATGTACTACTTTGTGTCATGCATAATAATAAATGTAGTACTATATGATACCAACATATGATACTTTACATTGCGGATGTAGTAATAATATATGATACTCCCCATTACAACCAGCCTCAGAGAAAGAAAAAGAGGAAAGGAATTTAAGGCCTTATTTGTGGGGATTGAAGTGGGCATCACAAAAATTAGCATAGCGATTGGTAGAAGACTCGTTCTATCCTCAACATCGTTACGTACATCGCAGTGCTGAATGCCAGGTGGAGCCCATAGCGTAGCATTCCACAGTTTCCAATTTTTTTCCAGCACGGACCTTGGACCTGGACCAGCATGCACAGGATCCACGTTATATATTCTCAGAGCGACATGATTTTTTAACCGGGTGTGCCGTCACGACCACGACGGCGGCCACGACTCGTCGCAGTGCCGAGGCAGCGGTCCAGAGCAAACACATTACTAATACCCACGCAGCGCGCGCGGTCCAGTAATAACTCAGCAGGAGGGCCAGGCCGCGACCACGGGCACACAGCGCTCCGACCGCCTCCCGAGCTCGTTCGATCATCCACCTCGAGTGCACCCCGCGCGCGATGGCGGAGGCGCCTCTGCTGCCGCGGAAGGACCAGGAGGACGCCGCCGAGGAGGGGCCGGGGCGCTGGCGGAGCGAGGCCGGGAAGCTGGCGTACCTGGCGCTGCCGATGGTGGCGGTGAGCTTGTCGCAGTACGCGGTGCAGGTGTCCTCCAACATGATGGTCGGCCACCTCCCCGGCGTCCTCCCGCTCTCGTCCGCCGCCATCGCCACCTCCCTCGCCTCCGTCACCGGCTTCAGCCTCCTCGTACGCACGCCGCTTATCCCCACCCTCCCCTCCCCTTTTTCCTCCTTCCGCATATTCCATTCCGTTTACGGCCTCTCGTTTATCCCCCTTCAGTTTCCATTCGCCTCGTGATAGACAGGCATCTAGCCTTAATTTCCCTTGTTGCATGCCGCGCATTCCTCTGCTCTGCTCGTCCATTGCGACTTGGCGACGGTCATGGTGTGTTCTTGGCTCATCGAGATTGCTCCATCTTGTTGAAATACAGACAAGGGAAAACGAGACTAGCTCACGTGTTCTTTATTCCCATTGGGTTAGGACTTTAGAGTAGTATATTACCACTACAGTTGGATGAGCATGTGACTGTGTGTTTTTCTAACTGGGAATTATTGAGACCAGCGAGAGACTGAACTTGTGGGTGCCATGCCATCAGATTCCTGATTGGTCCAAAGTGGTATTATTTCCTTGTATCAACTAGTCCGATAGCGACAGTGTGACACCGCAGGAGAAGTATTCCGCAGCCACCAAAGTATAGTAGTCAATTCTGAAGAACCGTTCAAACTATCTCTTTTTTTTCTGCAATAATGGATTTTGCACCATTTTGTCGGCCTAAATTTCCTCCACGGTCGCTTTTCAGTGATCAACATCAAGTAGGTATATTACTGAATGAATTAATTCGTGAAACAGATCGGCATGGCGAGCGCACTGGAAACGCTCTGCGGCCAGGCCTACGGCGCAAGGCAGTACCACACTCTGGGGCTCCACACGTACCGAGCCATCGTCACCCTCCTGGTGGTGTGCGTCCCGCTCTCGCTCCTGTGGGCGTTCATGGGCAAGATCCTGGTGCTGATCGGGCAGGACCCCCTGATCGCGGACGGGGCCGGGCGGTACATCGTGTGGCTCATCCCGGGGCTCTTCGCCAACGCGGTGATCCAGCCCATCACCAAGTTCCTGCAGTCGCAGAGCCTCACCACGCCGCTGCTCCTGTCGTCCGTGGCCACGCTGGCGCTCCACGTCCCGCTCTGCTGGGTCATGGTGTTCAGGACGGGGATGGGGTACACTGGCGCCGCCCTGGCCATCAGCGTCTCCTATTGGCTCAACGTGGCCATGCTCGTGGCGTACATTGTGATGTCGAGCTCCTGCAAGGAGACGCGCACGCCGCCGACCATCAAGGCCTTCAGGGGGGTGGGCGTGTTCCTGCGCCTGGCTCTGCCCTCTGCGCTCATGATATGGTAACCACTTGAACCTAGTAATTAAAAATGAAATTAGCTCTGCATTTGGATTTTCAGTTAACTGTGTCTAATCATGTAATGTTTCCATTTGTTGTTGGGTTTTTCAGCCTTGAGTGGTGGTCATTTGAGCTACTTATCCTCATGTCGGGGCTTCTGCCCAACCCGGAGCTTCAAACCTCGGTGCTCTCAATATGGTACCCACTGTTTTAGGTGGCTTAAATCTGCTTATATAATAACGCTAAGCTTACATTCTTACTGTTATTATTTTCACAGCCTCACGAGCATAACGTTGCTCTTTACTATACCTTATGGACTTGGAGCTGCTGGAAGGTACGATCTCTGAAGGCAGTTAACTACACGGCCGATGCTTTTTTTCACCACATGGAAATAATTTCTATCCGATAATTGATTCTGTATTTTCTTAATGAACAGCACGCGAGTAGCAAACGAATTGGGTGTTGGGAACCCCGAAGGAGCTCGATCGGCGGTCCGTGTCGTGATGTCGGTAGCGGTGACAGAGGCGGTGATCGTCAGTGGAGCTCTCTTGCTGTCACGGCGCCTCCTGGGCCGCGCTTACAGCAGCGAGGAGGAGGTCGCATCCGCTGTCGCCGCCATGGTTCCCCTCGTCTGCATCACCGTGGTCACCGATGGCCTTCAAGGGGTTCTCTCAGGTCACATTCATTTCTTCTGCATAACATTTCAAGTTGTCCATCGTTTCCAACAAAATGTGCCACTCTTGTTGTTACTAACATCTGTAGGTTCTTCCGCAGGCGTGGCTCGAGGATGCGGATGGCAGCACGTGGGCGCGTACGTCAACCTCGGCTCCTTCTACCTGCTCGGGATCCCCATGGCGATGCTTCTGGGTTTTGTGCTCAAGATGGGGGCAAAGGGGCTTTGGATGGGCGTCGTCTGTGGATCCATCTCGCAGACCACGCTCCTCTCCGCCATCACGTTTTTCACCAACTGGCAGAAGATGGTTTGTTTCTCTGAACCCACTTACAAATCATACGCGAAAACGAACAGTCCGATACACAATCTTACGGTCCGTTGCATTTTTTTTGTATTATGCAGGCTGACGAAGCTAGGGAGAGATCGCTCAGTGAGAAGGCAATGGAGTCTGAGTCGAGATCTCTGCTGGAATAGTTTTTCTGAGACTATAACTGCTCGAAGAGTTACGCTGCAATTTTGTAGGGGACACGCATCCCATCGCTGTGGTTTCTCTCTGAAGTGACAATGTAATTGTAGGGGAGGAAGAGGACGTAAACCACTCTTTTTCTCCCTCTTTACTTTTTTGGTGTCCGAGGCGAAATGTTTGGTGAAGCTCGATTTTGAAATCCCCTAGTTCACGTTTCCGCTTAGTTTTGCTCGACCCGGACAGACAGAGAGGATCCATGCCCGACAGCTCGAGACTTAGAGCATCTCGAGCCGCGCCCCCAACAAGGCGCCCCAGACAACTTTTCGACCGCCAGTGCTAAAAAATTGGCCTAGTCACGTTCCCAGGGACCCATTTTTTGCCGGTTCGGGTCGAAATTGGCGCCAGCGGATCCAACCCGAATCCGGCACGTTGGGGGGCGCTCGGGGGCGCCGAGCGAATCGTTTTTGACGCGAAAGCGTCGCATGGCAGCCGCGTGAGCGCCACCGCCCGTCTCGTCTTCCCGACGCCTCGATTTCCCGCGGGGAATCAATGGCAAGGCTGCCGCCGGTCAGCTTTTCCATTGATTCCTCTCACGGGCGGCGCGTCACGGGGTGGCGCGCCGACGCGTGCCGACGTCTCCCGTCCCTCGGCTATATATGGTCTCGCTCGCCTGCGTTGGAGTGCCACTTCAGCCCTCCCTCTCCCGCCGATCTCTTATCCCGAGCCACTCCCTCTCCCCGATGGCCGAGCGTTTCCCCGGAGACGAGGCGGCAGCCAACGGCTTCGGCCGCCGTTCACTCCGCGAACAGGAGTCCTGGCTCCTGTTCCAGGCGAACATCCCGGCGCCGCCGGACATGCGCACCGGGCCGACGGGCTGGAGGCTCAGCAATGGAGGAGTGCCCATTCCCCCGTTGCCCGACGCCGTCACCAAGCCATCGTACTTCGCCGACGAGGTCGAGATCGCGCGCGTCTCTCTCACCGACGCCGAGCGCTCCCTTCCCCAGTACGCCGTCGACAACAACGCGGCTTGGGCGGCGTAATTCGAGCGCCGCCAGCAGCAACGGCTGGCGTCCACCAACGGGGCACCGCTGGTCGGCGGCACCAAGAACAGCGAGGGGTGCCACCTCTGGTGGGGCGTCCACGGCCGCACCCTCGACGGCGTGCTGGCGCACCTTGAGGGCGGCAACAACCCACCGTTGGCGTACCCCCCGGCGAGGACGGCCGCCCCGACGCACCGCCGACGCGACGGGCAATGGGCGCCGAGGAGATTCGGCTGCTCCTCTTCCTCGTCGCGTTCTTCCTCCCACTCCTCCGGCACTCCATCGCTGCTCGGCGTCAAGGCCGAGCCCGCGGCAGAGACGCCGCTCGGCCGGCGTACACGCAACGCCAGCATCGTCATCAGCGAGGGCGTCCAGCGCGCCTCCTCGTCGGCTCCTCCCCCGCGCTTCGTCAAGCCGAAGACGGAGCCGGGTCTCGCGCCGGTGAAGACGGAGTCGGGGCTGCTGGCGCCGGTGAAGACGGAGCACGGCGAGGTCGAGCTCAATGACGACGCGGCCCTTGAATGGGCGCGCCAAGACTCCCTGAAGATGGTGAGGGAGCGCCAGCGCGCCGCCCTAGAGCGCTTCGCGCAGTGCCGCCGAGGCCGCGACGAAGGCGGCGTCGTCATCATCGACGATAGCGACGACGATGACGACGCGCCGCCGCCGCCGCCACCAGCCGGAGAGGGGTCCAGCAGGGGCGCCCGAGTCAAGGAGGAGAAGGCCGACGATGGCGGCGACGACGGCGACTTCTCGGCCTTCAACAAGTTTTTTTGACTAGTTTTTATATGTAATGGCGTGTTTTAGCCCAAATTTGCGAATATAAAAGCCCATGTTTGCCGAAAAGTGACGTGTTTCAGCCCAAGTTTGTCTATTTTTTTTCACGCCTGGGGCCGGCCCTGGGGCGGCGGCTAGGGACCAACTCGCTCCCAGACCCACTTTTTGCACCGGGTCACCCCCAGGCGGCGATTTTAGGCACCTTCTGGGGGACCAACGGCCGGAGATGCTCTTAACAGTTGCATCTCGTCTCTACTATTAATCTTTATTATTAAAAGGGAGTCGGTGTCGCATGTTTGGTGAAGCCTTTCCTCCTATTATTATTTGTTGCTTTCCATTTTTGGTTTTGTACAACCGACTTTTTGGGGACCAATGATTTTCTCTAGGACCGCAATATACGCGCAACGTCAGATGGGGAGGTCCCTGCCGTGTCGCCCCTGCGCGGCGACCGGGGGAACCCTAGCGCCGCCGCGTCCTCGTCCCTTCCCCGACCTCTCCTCCTCGCCGCTGTCGGGGCGCGCCGCCGGGCAAAGCCCGGTCGGCGTCGGCGGCAGCGGGATCTCTTCTCCCACGGCTCGCTGGATCTGGCGCGGGTGGATCGCGGCGATGGTTGGCGGCGCGCTGGAGGCGGGGCACGCCGGCGCGGGCTTGGGGCGACGGCAGTTTCCCCTGGTGTGCGTGGGATTCTGCTCGGGGCGCGCGACGGCGGCCCTCGGCAAGCGGTGGCGGGTGTTGGGCTCTCGGCGGCGCTCTGGCGTATGCAGGCGGCGGCGGTCCCTGTGCGCGGTCGGCGGCTCCGTCTCTGACCCGGACGGCGCGGGGGATGGCGGCGGCCCGTCGGGGCCGGCGATCTGGATGCGGTGGTGCCGGCGGCTCGCTGATCTGCCGGTGCTCCAGGGTTTTGCCTGGTGGTGCTGGTAGTGACGGCGGCCCGTGCACGAGAGTTGGATCCCTTCGAACTGATCTGGGTGAAGACTTGCCTTCGGCGTGTGCTAAGGCCGGCGGTGGCAGCGTTATTTATGTTGTTCCCTTCTTGAAGGCATCACCGTGGAGAAGTTCAAGGCCACTCTCTGCTACCTCTGGGGGAAACCCTAGATCGGATGATCGGATGACGGCGGCGCTCTAGTGTCGTTCCTCCCTTGGGGGCGTCATTCTTGGAGGTACACACGTGATCGAGGGACCAAAGGACGAATTCTTTGGTGGAGTGGTGCTTCATCCTACACACTGATGGCGACGGATCTTGACGGCGTGGCGCAGTGCAGATTCGGAGTTCGCTGTGGGAGGATGGACTCGCGCAGGAGGACGACGTTGTCGGGCGTCGTGATGGTGTCGATGGCAGAGAGACCGACACAGTACATGCAACAGTACAGCTCTGAAGATGGATTGGTGGCAGGTGGCTGCGGCGGCCTCATACCCGGCAAGTGTCCTGGTTGAGGAGTGCGCCGGACTGGTAGGTGCCCCATACCCGACAGGCGTCCTGGTTGGGACCTCAGGTCTTAGATGTTTAGGTTTGGCTGCGATGTCTGTTTGGTATTAGGCCAAGATTATCTGCGCCCCTTTATCAATTGAATAGGTGTAGCGACAGCTGTTGCTTAGACGGTGGCTTTAATCTTGCTGTTGTATGACTTTGTAAGGTCTTGTGAGAATAATTAATAAAATGGCCATATGCATCGCCTAGATGAAGAGGCCGGGGGTCATCCTCCTTTTTTTTAAAGATGGGGAGGTCCCTCCAAGCGAAATATTCGTTCCCAGGTAGGGAGGAATGATGGAACATTTTCATTTGCTCAAAATAACCACCCACAGCGAAACTTTTCAAATCGGCATGTAAAAACCAGTAAAATTGATGCGTTGTTGTGAAAGATTTGTCATGCTCTAAAGTAAAATTTGTAATCTCAAGACACCCAGGATGCTTGTCAAGCTCGAACACCGCCCATGCTTTCGACTTGGTGTTGTAGCCTTTCCTCCTCGAAACCCTCACTCACTTAGGTTCTGGAGCACGTTGGCAGGAGTGGATTTCTATCACCCTTGCATCCGCCTCCACACGTGTTCTTGTTAAGGGCATCCCTGGCCCACCCATCTTCCACGCAAGGGGCCTTTGCCAGGGAGATCCTCTCTCCCCTTGCTCTTCATTTTTGTCATAGACGTCCTGAACTCTCTCATCCAAGTTGCGAGTCGAGTGGGCCTCCTGCAGAGGCGGCACGCGACCTGTAGTTTTTCGTTATGCACCGGCGACATCATCGTTTTGTGCCACCAAACGAGCACGAATTTTCGGCGATCAAAGAGTTGCTTACCCTCTTTGGCAATGTTAGCGGGATGTGCACCAACTACAACAAGTGCTCTGTGACACCTATCCAGTGCTATGATGACCAGGTGACCACCTTCGCAACCTCCATTGCGTGCCCCATCTCTCACTTACCGTGAAGTACTTGGATCTTCCTCTTTCCATCAGGAAACCATCTGACGTTGACCTTCTCCTGCTCGTTGACAAGCTCGAGAAGAAGCAATCCACTTGGTGGGATTCCATGTTGTCTCTTGGTGACTGGCTTGCGCTAGTTCGGCGCGTCCTTTGTGCAATGCCTACCCACTTACTCGTTGCCATCATCCTCAACAAGACGATCCTCGACAAGGTCAACCAGATCATGCATGGTTTTCTTTGGGCCAGCCGCAAGGATGCCAAGGGTGGTCGGTGCAAGGTCAACCGGGCTAAGGTTTGCCAGCTCGCCTTTCTCGGCGACCTTGGCGTGCAAGATCTCTATCGTGTTGGCATTACGCTTCGCACCCCGCTGGTTATGGCTCAACCGCACCGGCCCGACTCGCCTTTGGAGTCACCTCCATCCCCTGACGATGTTGAGGCCTTGCAGATTTTCTGCGCCTCTACATCATGGTCTGTTGGTGATGGGAATACTTTGTTTTTCTCCGATTCTTGGATCGACGGGAAACCCATTGCCGACCTAGCCCCTGCTCATTCTTGTTGTGGTGCCCAAAGCGATGCCAATGAAACCACACAATGCGCCAATGTTCGACGGATCGACTTGGTCCGTGACATTCACGGCGGACTTAGGCCTGCAGCGCTCGTGCAATATGTTCAGACTTGGCGTCGCCTACACCACCTAGAGCTCACAGAGCTGCGGATATGTTTTGATGACGTTGGACGAAGTCCGGCAACCACACCGCCAAGTCCTACTACCTTGCCCTTTTCCATGGATCGATCCTAGGTCCTAATTGGCGCACTACTTGGAAAACTTGGGCACCTCTCCACATCAAGGTGTTCACTTGGCTCGCCTTCCAAGATAGATGTTGGACGACAAATAGGTTTGCTCGCCATGGCCTCCCACGTGATGACTAGTGCATTTTCTGTGACCAAGTCCTCGAAGACCTCCAACACTTGCTTCCCGGTTGTTCCTTTTCCCGACATGTTTGGCACGAGGTGCTATCTTGGCGTAGATCCATGACATCGTTACCCGACTCGACAATGGGCTTCTCCGCTTGGTTGGCGGATTCTTGCTCCAATGACCCCAACACCTATCGTAGGGGACTCTCCTCAAACATCATGCTCACGGCCTAGGTGGTGCCACCGTAACGCATGCATTTTCGATGGTAAGCAACCATCCATCTCGCGTCTTTTTTCAGAAGATCCAAGATGAGGCGTGCTTGTGGGCTAAAACCATCGCCAAAGGAAAGATCAATCTCTTGCCGGCGACGTAGACCTAGAGTTCTTTGGGGCTGAGCAACCCCTTTAGCCTTCTGCCCCGGTCACCGTGGTTACGCCTCCTAGCACACGTATCACGTGGTGTACCACCCCTCTATATTTGTTCAAGCTCCTTGTATCAATGAAATGATTCAGAAGCTTTGCGTATTCGCGAAGAAAATAAAGTAAAAATTTTCATACCATATAAAAAATAAATCATGTTGCAGCAGTGTGTTTGCCCTGCGTTTTTGAGGATTTGCCATGATTGTAGCATGTAAAATTGCCAGCCTAAAAAAAATGGCGAGAATTGCCATGCACATGTTCACCACTTTGTTGAAAGAAACCATGCTAGATGAGTGAAATGGTAAAATTTTCATACTCCAACATAGTTTGCCATCTCAAAAAATGTTTGCTGAGATTGCCGTTCAGAGTGAACCGTATACTGTTGTCAGCTCGTAGTTTGCTCAGAGGAGTGTGTGGAAGCAAATGCTTTGGGATTCATGCTGAGAATTCAACGAGGCAGAGCATGTTGACTGCGAGTCGTGAAATTTCCGACCTCGGCACATTAGCATTTGGATTCTTTATGTGTGCCTTTACTTCCTTTCCTTAGTTTAGATATGATTGCTGCATGTGTGATAATAAATCAATCGAAAATAGTAGATCTATTGCCTACAAATCAATAAATAAATAGATTCACTACATGTTGGCCCTCTTAACTTGGGAACCAGGCACCAAATAAGAACACAACAAATACTGTCCTGGACCAGCAGGTGCTAAGCATGCCGGCCTGTCAATCATGGGCCAGGCCGAGGATCCCCAGACATCCAAAGAATGGACCATGTTTGCCATGCCCCACGGCGTACTCAAGATGGAATCCTCCGAAGACTTGAAGCATACTTCAAGACACATTTGAATCATTGGCATGTTTATCCCTAGATATAACCGACCTACATGTAACCGTAGAGTAAGATCCATTCACATACGATCTCGAGGTAGATCATCATATACTCTGTACCTCATCAAAAATCAATACAATAGAAGCAAAGCGTAGGGTTTTACCTCTTCGAGAGGACCCGAACCTGGGTAAAACATCATGCTCCTCTTTGTCTTGTTACCATCAAGCTAAGATCACCAGCTCGAGACCCCCCACCCAAGATCCGCTGAATTTGACTCTGACAACAACCGTTGAAAATAGTCTCGGTTTTTCTCACGCCTAATCCAATTAGCTAGACAGTTAATTGCGCATAATTAATTTTATATGTCTGAAAGGATTGGTATGGTCGACTAGAGAGGGAGAGGGCGTTCAATAGGAACTATCATTTTTTAGCCTCTTTATCAAATTTTAGGTTCAATAAGAATGTAGGTTGACAACCTATATGACAAGCAACACAAAACAAGTGCAAGCACAAAGTAAACACAATACAAACTTGCACAAAGTCAAGGCACGAAGTAACCGCAAAGTGGTGTCCATGGAGACGAGGATGTGTTTCCAAAGTTTCCTCCTTTGGGGGAGGTACGTCTCTGTTGGAGAGATGTGGAGGCACAATGCTCTTCAAGAAGTCACAAGGACCACCTTATTCTCCTCACGCCCTCGCACAATGCAAGATGCCGTAATTTCACTAGAGGTGCCTTCGAAGGCTAACCGGAACCTTTACAAACAAGGTTGAGACTCTCTCCATAACTTAATTGGAGGCTTCTAACACCACCACAAAGCTTCACCACATTGGAATGTGGCTCCGAGGTGACCTCCTCCATCTAGGGTGCCAAAACACACAAGAGTAACAAGATCCGCAAGTGAAAGTATGGGGGAATCAAATTCCCTTTGGTGAAAGTGTAAATCTAGGTCTTATCCCTCAATCCTTAGAAAATCAAGAAAGAAAGCTCTTAGGGCAACAATGGAGGAGAGATAGCGACAAG